GGTGTTGATGGTGTAGATGGAGAGAGAGGGGGGAAGATGGGCGGGGGCGGGAGGGAAAGACCTTATGTGAAAGCTACTGGAAAGAAGTAGCTGAAGAGCCCTACTCCCCAGCGATTCTCCACCATGGCTGCAAGCATTTCTGAAACATGCACTACCCAGCCATTTAGTCGGGGCACTGCCCTCTGCTCCCTTAGATTCTAAAAAAATAAAATGAAAACAGCCAACACAATAGCTGATCAGTGTGAATGAATCAGAATTATACCTAGTTTTTTGGTCAGATTGGCAAAAATTATCGTATAGTTTTGGGTATGCCACAGAATTTTGGTAATTAGTTTGTGCGCCATGAGATGAAAAGGTTGAATTCGCTGCTCTAGCCTAATGTGGAAATGTGGCCTTTTAAAATTATTAGTGCATGGAAGGCATTATTGCAAAGTAAAAGGAAAGAACTGATAGAAAGGAAAACACTTAATCCCCCTCTTTATTTGAAAAGGAAAATGAGTTATTTTCCAACACTGGCCAGTCATGGTCACTAAACCTAATTTTGTTAAGATGATAAAATTTGGAGGAAATAAAGGGTTGCCCATATTTGGTGACATTTGTTACTTTCATTTGTGACCTGTGTGTCCCCCGTGCTCTGCAGCACGCGCGCCTGGCTCCATGCGGACACACTTCCGAGATGGACACTTGCTCTGAAGTGGACTGAGCTCTGCATCGCTGTGTAAGTCTCCGTGGACACGGCTGTGCCCTGTCTTCGAAGGCTGTCACACTGTCGTTGGCACAGTCGGAGCTCAGCCCATTCCCCTCACCGAGCTCATGAAGAACCCTTGTGCGCTTTCCCATAGCTCAGGGGTGGGCAACCCCTGGCACACGTGCCAAACATGGCACGCCAGTAACTTTTGCTGGCACGCGAAACCCTCTCTTATAATCTTCCATTTACAATTTTTTCCTTAATATCGACTTTTTTATTTTTCCGATAAATTCAGTGTAGGTGCATCTTAGATAAATAAATAATTTTACATAACATGTATACATTAAAAAATAAATGTATTTTTCATCATCATATACTGTGTTTTTGTCGCTCGAATGAATTTTATTGTTTCTTCAAGGTTCTTCACAGACGTACACCTTAAGAGATATCGATTAGGCGTAACATGATCTCAAAAGATTAAGGTTGGCACGCAGAAGAATTTTGAGTCAGAGATTTTGCTGGTTTTGGCACACACTCACAAAAAGGTTGCCCACCCCTGCTATAGCTCATGCAGTGGCTTGAAACCAGCATTTATGTGGATTGAAAAATTTCTGCAACTTTTGCAAAAACTGAAGTTGAAACCTGCTTGAGAGAGTGCTCACTGCTGTTTCAGAACGTCTCCTCGCACGTGTGCGCGGCAGCAGCTTGGGAAGTTCCCCCGACACCCAGCGCGCACCACAGGCACGAGCGGTCCCGGCAGCCGCCGCGGCGTTCCGGGCCGGCCCTTTCCTGCTGGCTCAGAGGCATTTGTATCTCATTGTCAGAGTGTGTTTTGGGGTAGAATATGTTTTGCTCTTTTTTCTTCTAGTTAAACTTGTGATCCCGTGGGTTGACATCCAGAAGTTAGAAAAAACGTCCAACGCCTTCCTGACAGCCACCATCCGCGTCAGCACGCCCAGCAAGGAACGGGACTTCTCCATGTTCCTGGACCTGGAGGGGGCGCTGCAGGTCATGGAGCAGCTGGCCGACGTGACGCTGCGCAGGCTGCTGGACAATGAGGGCTTTGACCTGGACCCCCACCTGCAGGAGCCAAGCCAGATCACCAAGAGGTGAGCCCCCCACCAGGCCCTCCGGGACCTGCTGCCAGCCGCCACGTGGCCCCGCCTGCCTGGCCTGAGCTGTACGAGCCTTAACTTTCCCTCCTAGCAGAACCCACTGCTGTGTTGTTAATCATGACAGAGATGCAGTCATTGGTAGCAATTATTATTCATCTCCTTTATGCCACAGACTTTGATTTCTGGGTTCAATTCCTTTTTTCAGATATTATTTCAAAATTGATTTTCATAAAAATATACTTCCAGAAAATGTAATACGGTAGCCTCAAGCTAGAATGCTATTCAGCATTGGGCTTTATTAATGAACATTAAGAAAATTTATATTTTTATATTACATTACTTTGTAGAAAACGTTTTCAGGACAGCTGGGTTACGTTCACACCAACTTATTAGAAATGTGCTTACTAAGTGTCTACACTCTCTGAATCGTTGCCCCAAATTGATACTCGTCAGGGAGCTTGAGGTATTTGTCAACTTAAAGAAGCTCCACGTCTCAAATCAGCAGGTGTAGGAATGGGCTCAAATGAAGGCATTTCCGTGGCTCTTCCTCTGGAACGCCGTCCCACTCCCGGCCGAGCGCCTGAGCCTCCAGCACGATGCTCTGGTGCCACGTGAGCTCTGTGACACCCGTGTCTCCTCGCCAGAATGTGAGACTTCAGAGAGGGCAGGGGAGGCACGAGGCTGCCGCCGACCTGGCTCCTTGCTGGGCCCCATCCCAACCCGAAAGTCCCGCTCGACTGAGCCCCCTCACCCTGTGCTGCAAGAGGTAGCCTGGGAACCTGCTCCCCGCAGCCTAACCATGAGCTATATGTCAGCACTATCTACTTCCTTTTATTAGTTTTCTTTTTTAAGAGAAAAAGCATGCACACTGCAGTGAGCAAGTGGGCTGGCTCACAGGGCGCGTGGCCTCGGTCTCCCCAGGCCCGCCCTCCAAGCTCACACTGCCTCAGAGAACAGACACCCACGGCAGCCCAGCAAGCCACTGGGCAGGGAGGCAGGCAGGCTGTGGGCCCGCAGGGGAGGCGTGGCCTGGGCGCTGCGTGTGCCCCCACCCCCCACCCCCGTGCCCAGGTGCCAACGGGTGACCTGCGGGCAGGGCGAGGCCCGAGTCCTCCCTGGAGAGAACACCCAGTGGGGTCCCTTCCCTGTGGTGCTGGTGCCAGTGCTTCCCCTGCACGGCGGCCGGTCTGGCAGCCGACCTCACTGAGGAGCGAGCGAAGGCCCCGCAGCGCTGTCCTCACCGGCCTCACTGCCACGGCCGTGGCTGTGTGCGGGGTGTCCTCACTGCGGGGCTCTGCGAGGCGATGTCTTCCCCTCAGCGCCTGCTCGGCGTGCCGACATTTACTGACTCCAGGTAGTTTCATGGTCACATGCAGGTGTGACCATGAAACTAGAAAATGTTCAGTGTAGCCTCAAGTTGTGCGACCACAATGTGTAATAAAGAATTGGAAACAATTTTAAAGAAGAAAGAAAGGAAGTGGGGGAGAGAGGTGAGGACAAAAGGGGCCCTGGGGTGGCTGGCGATGGCGCTCCCAGGGCGGCCCAACGAGGGCGGGATGGGGCGTGGGCCTGTGTGGCTGCTCCCTGCACTTCGACCTTCGAAAGCGAAGGCCTGCGCCGCCCTCCATCCCCCCAGCTCTCCTTGTGGCTCTGTCCTGGAGACGCCCGCGGACACAAACAGGTAGTGACTCAGTGGACTTGGCTTCCTGCCGAGAGACCAGGCTTTCAAAGTTTAGGGAAACAGCCTTCGTGCAAGGCCTGGTCAGCGGGCTGGCGGCCGTCCGCGGCTCTCTGTTGATGTTCTCACTTCCCTTCCCGAGAGCGGCTCTGGAACAGCGCCTCCGGGGTCATGCACCTGGCGACCGTGGAGTGGGCACAGCACAGCCAGGCTGTGCCTGCGTGGAGGCGGGGGGAGCTCTCAGGCAGGCAGGATGGGGCACCACGCGGGCCTGGCCAGGGCTCCCAGGTGTGGTCACCGAGAACCCAGGAAGCAGGCGACTCCTGGAGAGAACATGGAAGGAGGAGGGAAGCAATGGATTGGTTTTAAACTTTTCAAACAGAAAAGATCAAGTCTGACGTTGTGAATGATGGAGTGAGGACGTGCGACCAGCTAGGGTCGGGGGACGGAGAGTGGTGGGCGTCACTAAGTGGAAATTAAGTGTCTTCGTTCAAACCCGTTTGGGTGGTGAGCGTGCTGGAGGGCATCAGCCCCGCGGCCGTCGGAACGTTGGAAGCTCTTCCTGCCGCACCTAAGTAGCTCCTCTCCCAGCTGCCCGGCCCAGCAGCTCCCCTGGCGTCTCAGACCATCCTCAGCCCCTCGGCCCGCGCATGCCCCTGTCCAGCTGCTCCCCGCGCCCCACTGGGGCTGTCCAGCCTCACGTGGGCCCAGCGCGACACCTGGGGCTCGTGAGGCCTGAGCCGCCCGCCTCACAGGGCAGCGTCCCACCTGCGCCGTGGGCCCGGGCCCTGGTTCTCCGGGCGGGTGGCATGCGAGGACGAAGGAGGAGGAGAGCCTGTGGGTGACCGCGTCGTGCTGCCCATGTTGATGAGGTCTGGTCCCTCGGGCTCTGGGGCGGGTTTTCACCTTACGCAGCCCCGCCCCCCGCTCCCTGGAGCAGCGCACGCATGGGAGAGGCGGGCTCCGCGCGCAGATGTGGCTCTTAGGAAAGCTCACCTCGCCTTCCTGCTTGTGTCTGGCGGGTGCCTAACAAGAGACTGGAAATCTTTGTGTGTTTATTTATTTACTTTTTTTGTTTTTAATATATTTTTAATGTATAAAATGGCAATCTATGATGCACAGAAATGAGTATTTCCTTACTTATCAGAGCATATTATTCTGCTGATTTTTTTCAGCAATATTTTTTTATTGTTTAAAGTATTACAAATAGTAGTACATATGTCCCTTTTTTTCCCATTTGACCTTCCCCTGGCCTCCCCTTCCCCCAGCACATGCCCCCCCTCCCCCAGTGTCTTATGTCCATTGGTTATGCTTATATGCATGCATACAAGTCCTTCGGTTGATCTCTTACCCTCCCTGCCCCCTAACCCTCCCCGGCCTTCCCGGTGTCGTTTGACAGTCTGTTCGATGCTTCTCTGCCTCTGTATCTATTTTTGTTCATCAGGTTATAACAGTCTTTATTATCCATAAATGAGTGAGATCATGTGGTGTTTTTCTTTCACTGACTGGAAATGATCCCTGAAAGTATAGTCTTTACTTTTTTTTTTCTTCTATATTTTATTGATTTTTTACAGAGAGGAAGGGCGAGAGATAGTCAGAAACATCGATGAGAGAGAAACATCGATCAGCTGCCTCCTGCACACTCCCCACTGGAGATGTGCCCGCAACCCAGGTACATGCCCTTGACCGGAATTGAACCTGGGACCTCTCAGTCCGCAGGCCGACGCTCTATTTACTGAGCCAAACCGGTTTTGGCATAGTCTTTACTTTTAATTTTTAAAATGTTTTTATTTATTTCAGAGAGGAAGGGAGAGATAGAAACATTCACGATGAGAGAGAATCATTGATTGGCTGCCTCCTGCACGCGCCCCACTGGGGATGGAGCCCACAACCCAGGCCTGTGCCCTGACTGGGAATCAAACCCAAGACCCTTCAGTCCGCAGGCGACGCTCTGTCCACTGAGCCACACCAGCCAGGGCTTCCTGTGTTTTTTGACGAGGCAAACTGGCTGCAGGGGACTGAGCTACCCCAGAGGGCGGGTGTGGAGCCAGGATCTGGCCAGCACCGAAGCAGCACCGCACAGGCCCGATGGGAAAGCCCGCCTGTGCCCGTCTGGCTACACCTTTCTGCCTCCATCAATCCCAGCACCACCCCCCATTCCACAGGGGAGCCGGCCGTCTCCCCCACGCCCCGGAGGCTCTGGAGAGAGAGGGAGACCTAGACCTGCTTTGGTCCCTCTTCCCCTAATCTAAGATGGAGAGCTCTAGTTCTGGGTTTGTGGGGAAATAAGAGCACTGCCCACCCCTTGCTTTTTGTGGTCCCCTGAATTTTGAAGTGTGTGTATGTCGCCAGCACTCTCTGCCGTGTTGTCAGGTGTGACTGTCCATGTTAACTTCACTCAGCGGCACACCTGATGGCTCTTGCTGCAGCTTCTGAGGAGCCCGCCAGTTCCCAGGATGGCAAGTGCGAGGAAGGCTGATCCGGCGCCTTCCCTGCTGTGCCAGGCCGTGCCGTGCCAGTGCCCCGCGGCGTGGCCGGTGGGCAGTCAGTGCGGTTGGCTGCTTGGCTGGTTTCCATCCATGCGGGTGCTGCTGCCTGGCTTAGGCCTGAGGTCACACCACTCAGCGTTGTTGAGTGAGAACGCAGATACCGCACAAAGCACCCTTTTACCATTTACTTATTTATTTTAGAAGAGCAAGCAAGAGCTTACCGGCCGCAGCAAAAACACACTCTGGTCAGTGAGGCAAGGAAGGGCCTAGAAGCACAGGAGGCCCAGGCGGGCTGCTCGGCCACTGGGCAGCCAGAGAAAGGGGGCTTTGGGGACAGGTTCAGGGGTGAGCTGGACGAGCTGCCGCCACCGCGGCTCCCAGGGCGAGTCCTGTGGGGTGTTGGGGTTTAGGACGTGTGCACCTGTGGGGGCGAGGGGGGGGGCGGCATGAGCGAGCTCCTGGGGGGAGAGGGCCCAGCTCACCCATAAAGCACACGCTTAGGGGTTTCAGTTTATCCACAGAGATGTGCCATCACACGGTTCATGTGGGAACATTGCCGCCACCGGACGCAGCTGCGCATCCCAAGCACCCACCCCCCACCCACCACCCCCCGGTTTTTGCAGTCACCCGGCTAGTTTCTGTCTTTATAGATTGACTTATTCTGGAAACTTCATAAAAAGGGATCAGGCGTGTGTGGTGTTTTGTCTGGGCTTCTTTACCTTAGCGTTTCTCAGGGTTTGTGCATGTAGAGGTGCCAGCACTTGGTCCCTTTTTATGGCTGAATGACGTTTCATTGTGTGGCTGTGTCACATTTTACCCATTTGTCAGTTGATGGTTCGGATGGTCCCCGCGTTGGGCTGCGATGGGTGACGGTGCTGGGACAGGTGCGTAAGTTCCCGTGGCACGTGTTCCGTTCGGCACCAGCGCAGCCGCTGGGCCCTCGGCTCCAGGCCCAACCCTCTGAGGAGCCGGCGCGGTGCAGGGCCGCCCGCGAGGGCCAGCCCTTTAGAGACCGGCTGTCACACGGTCGGTTTGTGGTGACTCCCGGTGTTGTCGGGCCCGAGAGGAACGTGCGGGTCTCTGAGTCCTTCCCTGACTCTGGTCAGAGGCGCCCACTCGCCTGCAGGCCAGAGCGGCACTTCCTGCAGCCACGTCCATGAAGGCCGCACGTGGGTGTGAGTGTGCGCCGCGGTGATCCGGGGCTCAGGCAGGGCCCTGCCTCGGTTTACTCCCTTCCTCTTCCCCAGGGACCTGGAAGCCCGGGCGCAGAGTGAGCTATTCCGGGCCGTCTTCAGGCTGCCACGGCGGGAGAGGCTGCACGCCGTCCGGGACTGCGCCCTGTGGACGCCCTTCAGCCGCCGCCACACTGCCGGGCGCCTGTTCACCTCCGACAGCTATATCTGCTTCGCCAGCAGGGAGGAGGGCTGCTGTCAGGTCCTCCTCCCGCTCCGAGAGGTGGGCCTGCAGGGTGGGACGGCGCAGAGGGAAGCGGGCCTGGCCTGATACTTCCCACTGGGCTGTGGCACTGACTGCTGTTGCTATGGCAACCTGAGATTTGTAGAAAATTGATAGGTGTGAACAGGGCCTGCTCACCTCCGTGTTATCGATAAAGCTAATGCGGTAACTTAAACGTTATGACAGCTTTTAGGCACCAAAGGGAAGAGAAAAGGCACCTTCTAAAAGCATCCCTTGGGAGATACACCTCAGTGGCTTGGCTGTTACACCCTCCCAGCACGTCAGTTAAAACCTGAGCCCTGCTCCTGGCACACGGGCCAGGCCCTTCCCACTGCAGAGGCCACATCTCCCCGCAAACAGCAGCGGCTGCCCTGGAGCTGCAAGCTCCACCCTGGGCCAGCAGCACCTCTGACACCTCTGAGGCAGGGCCGCCTGGCGCCTGGCGGGGGCCACTGAGCGCGCTTCCCAGGGGCTTAGCCTGTCTTCACCCCTGACCCCTCCCCGCCTCCCCTCCTGTCTTCATCCCTGACCCCTCCCCGCCTCCCTGCCTGTCTTTGCCTGTGCAAAGTCTTCATTTCACAAATATTCTCATTTCACTTCAAAGTGGAGCAGAAAACCCGGTTGTTGCACACACTCTTATTTTTTAGGTGATGGTGACACATGCACAGCAGCGTTTGGGTTCAGTGTGGAGTAATTCATGCTATTTTGCTGCCCCCTCAGAACTCTTTTCTTCCCAGTCTCATTGATCAACACCCTCCCCGCCTCCCCAGCCCCGGCACCCGCCACTGCACTCTCTGTCCCTGGGGCTTCACTTCTCTGGGGCCTCCTGTAAGTGGAGCCCCCCTGGACGTGCCCTTGGGTGGTGGCCATGGCCCTCACGGCGTGTCCTCGGCGCATCCGTGTGCCGTCTGTGCCAGCATGCAGTCT